GAATATCACAGGGATGACGGTGAATTCTACGCGTGACTCGAATAAACCCTCCCCCACCTCCCCTCTCTCTCTATCTCGATAAGCGAGGAGAGGTTGGAAAAATTCGAGATCTCTTTCCGAGTGTAATCAACGATTCCCGTGGAATCAACAGTTCTTCCTTCCGAACAGTTCCGCTTCCGGTTTCCGGATGCAACGATCCGCCAAACTGTGGCTATGATTCCATTTCCAATTTTTCATCGGGACGATAACGACTCGTTCCAAATGGACGGCTGAGAAACGAGTTAGCATCGAATCGAACTCGCGGCTGTTCGACGAAAATTGTATCGTGGCGAGCAGCAGTTTCTAAAGCACAAGTCCTTTTAAAAACGAAGAACGGAGAATGCGAAACGTTCCTTTGGATTTCCGTTTATATTAATAATAACGCGAAGTGGATGGTACAAAGGCGACACGCAGCGGTGAAATTGAAAATTATAAATTACGTGGATCTCACGGTTCGAGAGCACCACCTATAGAAAGGAATGGAATGCCCGCTGACAGCTAAGACGTTCCTTCTCTCTAGAGAAATAATTCTCGCCTGTTTCACCGTGGCGGTAAAACGTTCCCGTCGAAGATGGCCGGCAATCGCGTGGAACGGAGAATAGGGGTGGAAATTCTTTTCGAACTAGCGTGTTGCATAAGATAAGACGAAGGAGAGAGAGAGAGAGAGAGAACTCGGGTCGGGTTTCCTCGGGCTCGGGAAGGAATTGCCACGAACGACGGCAAAGACGAATGAGCCTTTTGAAGCAGAAAAATATGGCAGCCGGACCATCTGCGGATTTTTCCATCGGTTTACTCTCTCTCTCTCTCTCTTTCTCGATCGTGTTCGAGGCCTGCCTTCGCACGTCAACGGGGGAATCGAAGTTTTCCTTATGATTCATGACGCGTCGTGACGATCGATCCCGCAATTTTTTTTTTTTTTTTTTTATATATTTCTTCTCGCGTCCCGCAGTTTTTCCGTTACAGAACATTTCCACTTCCACGTATAGCGCGTCTCACTGTCACTGGCACTGTGGAACAAAAGCGGTTACGGTTCCATCTACCGGCCAGTGTTCGGTTAACGGTCTTTTTTTGTCCTTCCTTTCCACGTTATTCCGCTCTATTCAACAGCGACACGCCGAAAACAAGGGAGAAAGAGAGAGAAAAAAAAGAAGGAAAGAAGAAAGAAAGAAAGAAAGAAAGAAAGAATGTACAAAAAGAGGAAGAGAGCAGATCGAAATATTAATAATAAAAGGGGGGCGGGGAGGGGGGAGGGCGAAGGAGAGAAAACTCGTTTTCTTTCGTTTCGAAAAAAATCGCTTCGTCGTGGATCGATCCTCGAAGCTTCCTTGGAAAACAGGATGCTTTAAAATTCCCACAGACGTCCTTCCGGCTAATGAGCACCGTCGTGTTTTCGTAGCTATCCTCCGGCGACCGGTGAACTTTTACCGAAAAAACGAAAAGAGAGAAGGAAAAAAAAAAGCGGGTGGAATAAAAAGGGGAACAAGGGGAACGGTCGGTACACCGTTGAATTCCGCCACGCGATTTTCAAACTGCCTTTGGAAAACCTTGCCTATTTTTTCCTCCCCTCTTTTTTCCTCCTCCCCCTATCTTTCTCGTTATCCCGCCGTCTGTCGACCGCAAGCTTCTCGTTATCTCGCTCGCCGTTTAGAAAATCCGCGCGATCCAGTTGTATATTAGAAACAGCGTTGTCACGAAAAAAAAAAAAAAAAAAAACTCTCGGAACGAATTATCCTTTTTTTCTTCTCTCTCTCTCTCTCAAAGCTTTAAACTTTTCGCGGAGAAACAGTGTAGCGTAGTTGGAGAGCGCTTCGTCCAATCCCCTCGAGAAAGTTGGATTGCTCGATACATTATTGAGCTCGCTTCGATTCATGATTTCTTTGGAACAAGTTGCGGCCGACCACCGCTCCCTTCCCGTCCCTTCACTCTGGAAGTGTTCCGAGAGAGAGTTTTGCCCGGCCTGCTGCCGTTCCGGGACGTTTCCATTACCCGCACTGTGGAAACTCTTGCTGGATAAGGGTAAGGATAAGTTGCATGGCCGATACACGTTATTACGTCCCGCGATAAATTATTCGTGCGAGAAAAAAAACGAGAATGGGACTCGATATCGAAGTTTTTAAGCATCGGGAGGTGAATTTTTTCGCCGTCGTTTCCATTCGAGAGTACACGTAAGGATTATAAGATTTTACCGATTTTATTCGAGAGAGAGAGAGAGAAAACGGATCTTTTCAATTTTCTAAAAGTATGGATAGGTATCCGGTTGGATGGGAAAGTTTCTCCGCTGAAAAATTGGAATATTGTCTTTCGACGAGGCGCGACTCGAAGAGAGGGAAGTAACTAGAGACGAAAAACTTTTGGAAATGGAAAGAGAGGAGGAGATTAGGGAGAAAGAAAGGAAATGATAAGGCCACCACCACCCGGTCATTCAGAGCCGAGGAATAAAGGAGGTTTATTCGAATGTCTTTCCCATTGAATCCGTTAATGACGAAATACGAGCATTGTCGCCTTCCGTCGTCGTGAAATTTCGATGCTCGTATTTCACGCATAACGACGCGATCTCCTCCTCTCAAACGTCTCCTCCTCGTGGAGAACAGAGAAATATCGCTTCCCATGCAATATTTAATTCCCGTTGAAAATATGAAAAGAGGCCAGGAGGAGAGTGTTTGACGCGCGGCTTATTTCGTTCGAACCGATTCCTTCTTCCTCTCCCCTCTCCTCTCCCTCCTCTTTCTTTCGAGTAATTACAGATAAGAGGCTTAAACGAGAATTCTCCACGACGAATATCGACTGAGAAAGAAGAAGAGAGAGAGAGAGAGAGAAAGATAGAGGGGCCTTCGCGTCCGGTAACGAACGACACGATCTCTTGTTCGAGTCGCGGGCAAAACGATATCTTTTCACGAAGACGGGCTCCAAAGGCTTATATATGTATCGATCGCCAATGAGCTAATGGGTAATCATCGATAAGAGGCTTAACCATGGATATTCAGAATTAAGCGTCTATTTCAGGGAATAATGCGTCTCTCGATTATTCGTGTTTCGACGAAGCGATCCAAACGCGGGATACCTTTAGAGAGACGTTAGAGATTAAAAGCGTCTAACAGTTTGTGGTGGACGAAGATATTATTATTGTATTATATCCCTTCAAACGATCACGCTTGAATACGGACGTATCCGAATATTTGACCGTTGCTTGTCGATACACATTTTGTTTCTCTATCCCCCTCTCTCAAATTAACACATATCTTGTCGAACTGACAACCGTTTTAAGAATCTCAACTCGTCGATCAATCTCGATCAACCACGATTGTTGTTTGACGGAATCATAGTCAGGGGGACAAAGGTGTCGAAAGGAGAGACCGGAACCCGTTTAACACGGGGAATGAAAATTTTTGCGAGGATTTTAGCGAGGAAAGCGAAGGCACGAGAGCGCAAACTCGACGGCCGTTCGATAAGCGCATAACCGTGCGGTTAAGTATCTGGTTTCCAACGATGCGAAAAGTTTCGAGCGTAAACGAAGAGATAGAGGATCGTTAGCCTGCAAATATATATAACACACACACACACACACACATATATATACATATATAGAACGAAGAGTACGAAGAGATAACGAAAGTGGAGAGGGGAGTTTAAGGGTTTGACGATTGAATCGGAGGTGATGGGATAGGCCGATAGAGGGGGACGGAGACGGGCCGTGGAGTGGAAGGGTGGATAAGACAAAATTAATTTCTCCATAATCGGCGATTAGACGTCGTTGAAGCGCGGGGGGGAGGGGTAGTTCCTTGTCAAAATCTAGAGAGTAAAGCCTAATCGGATTAACGTTCGCCGACTCGACGCTTCTCTCCACGACCAGCTCTCTCTCGTTCCTTCCAAGTTTCTCGAACCCGAGAGTTCGCAGCTTCGAATCCCGATACGAGAGAGAGAGAGAGACAACTCGAGAGCTTCTCGTTACGTTTAGTAAAATTGGCGAACGAGGAATGGTCGATTGAAACGAAATTTAGGAACTGTTTAAACTGTGAGATCGACGGAAGGAAGGTGTTGTTGATCGATTTTTCGTTTCGCTTGGAAACAAGACGGAGGAATTATTTGACCTTTGAGAAAGTTTGCCGGGAATGGAAGACGAGGCGCGGTCTCGTTATCACGAGATCCCTTTGTCCTTCTGTGTCCCGCCACCACGTCAGATTTTCTCAGCAACGTCTTAAAGTTTCTCGAGGCGGGTTATATTCCTCGGAGCGGAATCGGCAGCCTTAACTCAGTTTAATAGCCGATCGATGGGTAAATTCGGTTAGGGGGTTTCCTCCTAAAAGGAGGAGTTTGGGCTTCGTTCCGGGTTTCGAAGCGCACCGCACTCCTCGAGGAACGGCCACGATACCTGCCTGCCTCGATTCTATTAAGAGACAAGAGCCGAGGCGTCCTTTGGGCCTGTCTTTACACTTTCCAAGTATCGAGCGGCCAAGTTTCTTGGCTTCGCGACCCGAATGCCGAGACGCGTGCAAAGATGTCAATCCCTTTTCCGATTTTTTCCTTTTTTTCTGATTAACCAATGCTACTCGGAATTTAAATCCCTTTTTTTCTCTTCCCCCTTCACTTTCACACTTTTATCGTATTTCATAACCTCCTTTCATCCCATCGACGGGAATTTTTCTCGCCGGGGAAAAGACGAGGCGGATGAATTATTCGCGAGAGATCTAGTGGATTCCGAAAGCGCGCCGTGGAAATATCGGTGGAAAAGTTTGCTATCGATCGATCCACGATCGAGGAGGGTTGATTAACCTTGGGACGAAGCTCGAACGAATCGTCGACACCGGCAATTTCCGAGTAGCAGACAAGTTTCGAAGATGGAAAGGAGAGTTTTTCGGCAAAGTTGGTTGGGAGTTTGCTTTTAAATTTTAAAACGTTGGTTTCAACTGGCTCGAAAACGGGTTTCGAGAACTTTTACCAAGTGACTTCGCTCGGGGACTCACCGATGACGGTGAAGTTGACCTTGAGGTTTCTGGTCGGCGAGTTGCGAAAATCAACTCTGCATCTGTAAACACCTTGGTCGGTCTCCCGCAGGTCTCGAATCGTCAGCTGGGCGGGTGGACTCGCTTTGAACGTGGCCCTGTCCCCCCAAAAGTGGGAGGCGCTCCACAGCTTCGCCTTGCTGAACTGTCGATTCCTCGCGTCGTAGCTGCAAAAACACGAGATATCCGAAACTTGAGGTCGCCAACTTATAACACGAAATGAATATATATATATATATATATATCTCGCCGGATACACGTGACCAGTCTTATCTACCCGCCGCCAATTTTTCCCTCAAACTTTTGCAATTCGTCATACAGCAGGAGGAGGAGGAGGAGGAGTTTGCTCGCTCTCCAAGTTCCAAGCCTTGAAACTCAATACAGGCAGACACGAGTGCACTCGACCGAGAGAGTCAGATAACCTTTTAAGCGCTTCGAAGATCGACCTCTACGACGGCGTGTATCGAGAGAGACTCGAAGACACGTTTCTTGCCGTGCATCACACGCGTATAGGCGCGAGCGTTGCAAATGAGAAACTCTTTCTTTTCTTTTTTTTTTTTTCGAAAAACGAGCGGATCGACCTGTCAATTATCGGCTCGAGTCTAATCGGGCGGGGAAAGTTTGGCGACGAGTTTCGGTGATGAGAGAGAAGCTGGTCTTGGTCGATCAACGGGAGAGGAGGGAGGGACGTTGATTCGTTCTGCTAGCAGGGAAGTTTCGACGAGTCGGTCGCGTATAGTCTCGTCCGGTGGTGCACTTTGTTCCCGGCCATAAGACAAATTGGATCGGTTTTTAACGAGCGCGATCAAGCGAGAGAGTTTGCCCTGGTAGACACCGACGCCTGGATTATCGTCGCCTCGCCTGATTTGACGAGAAATTGATACAGGAGTTCGGGGAGATGCGAGATCGCGTGAAGAGAAGTTTTGCTCGTCCGATTTGTCTCTTTCGTCGTTAACGGCGAATTTGATTTTTTACGGAACAATATTTTTTATTGCATGTAATTTTAATTATTACTCGTTGAAAATGTGTGTATGTAAAAGGAATTGACATTGCATTTTAATTAGTGTAGGATAAAAGAGAAAATACATTTGAAATAACTTCGCGTGGCAATTAACTTGGAAAGCGCCTCGAATTTGACGAAACGATACGATAAACTGGAGCTTCAGAACTGGAAATGGTATTATAAACCTTTATAAACCTTATTCTATAAATTATCCGATATGGGCCAGATATGAGTCTAAACGGTGATAATTTGACAAAATAACGATGAAAATAATGAAATTGGAAATTATAAAATTAACAAAGCATTGTAAAAATATAAGATGTTCTAATATAAGATCCATAAATATGACTGAATCCGCCGAGTTGGCGAGTTGATACAGTTCTGCAAGGTATTGCAAATCAAATATGGCGGTAAAAAAAGTAGAAAATGAAATCAATTTACAAAATAACGATTTAAATCAAAATAGATTTTATATCCGTTAAAAGATTGAAGTTTAAATGCTTTTGAAAAAATTTACAGAATATTTCTCAATTATTGAAACGTGACGATTATCGATCGGTTATCCGCCTGTAAATCGTTTAATCCGTAAACGTATAATCGTTACACATCACGTCGAAAATTAAAAAATTTTGCCGGTTCGAATCACTTTTTATAAAATTCGCGACGAGAGAGAGAGAGAGAGAAGACGAAACGAAACGTTGGTGGGAAACAAAGAAACACGAAATAGGCGGTGCAACGCGAGAAGGAAACACAGCGATTAGAAAACGCCGTGGAACGAAGGATTCGCCTTTGTTCGTGATACAAAGAGAATTACGAGAAATCCCATCCGATGAATGGAATCCGCGAGAGGGGATTCTAATAAGAAAACGATAATTCCCTTCATCCTGAAGAGGTAGCGTCGTCGCATCGAGTGGAAAACGAGCGTTTAAAGGCGGCGGATTGAAGAAAAGGACAGAGGAGGAGGAGGAGGAGGATAATATCGGAATAAAAAAAAAAAAAGAAGGAACGAAGGATGAAATGATTTTCTGGACACGAGAAAGAAAGAAAGAAGAAAAAACACTGAGAGAGAGAGAGTGGCCTCTAAACAAATTAAAATAATTCCGGGGGGGGGGGGACGGAAGATCGAGAAAGGGCCGAATTCCGGTTAAAGGAAACGTTTCCTATGAATACGTTAGTGACGAGGGTGGGGGAAGCTCTTAAAAGGAGCTTAACTTGGCGCATAAAATTAAGGCATTGTAATTGCAGACGGTGTCGCCACTGCGCCACCACATTTCTTTTCCTTCGTTTCCACCCTGTTCGTTCCTCGTTCCACCACCCTTTCCCCTCCACCTCCTCGACACCTTCCTTCCTTCCTTCCTTACCCCCCTTCCTTTTCTTCCGTTTCCGCTCGAGCGGAAAATATAATTTGCCCCCCTCCCCTCCCCCCAAGTTAACTTTTAGCTTCCCCGGAGGGCGGCCGGTGATAAAATGATTTTTAATTGGGATTAGACGTAAGTCGGCTACACCCGCCCCACCCCATCGCCGTCAAAGTTTTACCCATGAATTTAAGCGAGCAGCTTTTATAACCGCGTTCCTAATGAATTTCGAATAACAGCTCGGATTAAAGCAACCGCGGATCCGTTCGACCAGTTCCTCGTTTCGAGCGGGAGGTCCTACGAGAAAGAGAAAATTAGTAGCTTTTTCCACGCGATTTAACTTTTTTCGTTTATATTTAACCGATCGACGGACGAAGGATGAAATGATTTTCTGGACACGAGAAAGAAAGAAAGAAGAAAAAACACTGAGAGAGAGAGAGAGTGGCCTCTAAACAAATTAAAATAATTTCCGGGGGGAGGGGGACGGAAGATCGAGAAAGGGCCGAATTCCCGGTTAAAGGAAACGTTTCCTATGAATACGTTAGTGACGAGGGTGGGGGAAGCTCTTAAAAGGAGCTTAACTTGGCGCATAAAATTAAGGCATTGTAATTGCAGACGGTGTCGCCACTGCGCCACCACATTTCTTTTCCTTCGTTTCCACCCTGTTCGTTCCTCGTTCCACCACCCTTTCCCCTCCACCTCCTCGACACCTTCCTTCCTTCCTTCCTTACCCCCCTTCCTTTTCTTCCGTTTCCGCTCGAGCGGAAAATATAATTTGCCCCCCTCCCCTCCCCCCAAGTTAACTTTTAGCTTCCCCGGAGGGCGGCCGGTGATAAAATGATTTTTAATTGGGATTAGACGTAAGTCGGCTACACCCGCCCCACCCCATCGCCGTCAAAGTTTTACCCATGAATTTAAGCGAGCAGCTTTTATAACCGCGTTCCTAATGAATTTCGAATAACAGCTCGGATTAAAGCAACCGCGGATCCGTTCGACCAGTTCCTCGTTTCGAGCGGGAGGTCCTACGAGAAAGAGAAAATTAGTAGCTTTTTCCACGCGATTTAACTTTTTTCGTTTATATTTAACCGATCGACGGAGGGTTCGTAGAGAACGAATGATACGAATGACGCGAGAATAAAGAGAATAAAGATCGAACTCGTTTCGTCATCATAATATCCTGAAAATTGTATTATCCGATACAACAGCGCGACAAAGTTTAAACAAACGGTTGTTGACGCAACACGTTAGGGCGAAATGATTAATTTCTAATAATCTCTGATAAAAAAGATTTTCCATGGAATCGTGGGAGAGGAATAGAGGAGAATCGTAATTCTCTCGATTACACCCTGTCCCGAAAAGATTCTTAATTAACGAGCCTCGCGGCGGAGGAGAGAGATGGAGAGCGCATTTCCATACCAATGTAAAATGTCGATATGCATGGAAATCGAATGGATATACACTCTCATTGAGCGCCACTCTTGATGCGCGCCACTGGTTACCGTTTTCGATGGTCACCGGTTTCCGTATCCGCCGTCGCTCCCGATACCTCGAAAATCGTTGCGATAACCCCCTCCCCCCGTTCCACGCCTACTCTTCTGCTGGCCCTAGTCTCTCTCTATTCGAATATCACCTGTGAAACCGCACCCCCGGCATTCTTCAAAATGGGATCGATCCCGCACGATGCATAATGGGAACAGAGATATCACCGATCCGATCGGTGAATATAATATCCGATTACATCCGAGCATTCCTCCTCCGAGGATATTAAATATCTCTCCCTCTCGATACACGTCCGAAATTAGAAATCATTCGGATTCGTCTTTTCTCTTCTCTCGTCTTTTTTCCTCGAATCGATGGAGAATTGTCGACGTAGAAGCGATGTTGTTCGATAAGTGGTATCGAATGGGGAAGGAGGATAGAAGTAACAATGTATACACAATGGAGACTCTTGAACTAATAGGGAGAATACAAAAACGAACGATTACTTTCCTTTTGCATTAAGTTCATTTCGTTTGTTCGAGTAGAAATGAGCAAGATCGACGGTTTCGACGTCTAACGTATCTTTTTGACCGTTAAAAGTCATAAATTTTTTGTGGTGAACAGCTGCGTAAAATTACCCGCTTATCTTATCTTTAACCATCTTATATTTCATTTCCACAGTCGAAACTACACTAGTTTTCGTTTACTTCGCGTTAAATTTTTGTTTATTCCAGTAGAAATGAACAAGATCGACGGTTCCTTTCGACGTCTCATACCTTTTTAACCGTTTAGTCGTAAACTTTTTGTGGTAAGCAGCTGCGTAGAATTACCCGCTTATCTTATCTTTAACCATCTTATATTTCATTTCAACAGTCGAAACTACACTAGTTTTCGTTTACTTCGCGTTTTAATTTTTTTTATTCCAGTAGAAATGAACAAGATCGACGTCTCATATCTTTTTAACCGTTAAGTCGTAAATTTTTTGTGGTAAGCAGCTGCGTAGAATTACCTGCTTATCTTATTTTTAACCATCTTATATTCCTCTCCAACAGTTAAAACTATACTAATTTTCGTTCACTCGATATCGTTCTCCGCTTCGATGTAATTACGTTTAACCAGCCGGACACAGAAAAGAATTTATTACGTCTAAATACGTTGTATGTAAACATCTCATACGGATAATAGAACGTCCGTATATTAGAGTATTCGGATAATGGGATTACGGATACTGTATTATTCGATCGTTGGTGTCTGGAAATAAGAGAGAAAAAAAGAAACGAATCGAATCCTTAACGAGATTGCGACGACTGTGCTTCCGACAGGATTGGAA